ACCTTCACTGTTTCACGGTGATCACAAGTCCTTCGAAATGGCCACCATTTTCGAATGTCTGCGTTTAATGTTGACGGGACTGACAATAGAGGTGCAGGCTGCGGTGCGACGCGGACAGGTGCAAATACCGCCATCTACGGGGCAAAGCAAGGGACGTTTTGTTCAACATAAGCGTGATTTAATGTGCGCCCGCATGTCAACGTTTTTTTTTCAAATAACAGTTTGTGCTTTCGTTTACTTATTTGGCGTTGGAGCACTTGAATGTTTTAGTGATACGTTTGGGACTGACGTTGAGCCGCGCCCAGTAAAGGAGGAAGGGATGATCCCAAGGAGACGCCACCGGAGCGAGCAGACGGATTTAATGACCACTTTGCTGCTGTCAGCCCATACATCGCTGTTAAATCAATAGCTGGAAGACCACTCCTCCTCCGCCGAGACTACCGGCATGTGTCACCAGCGTCTACGGTTACGGTCCGTCACCCTTCCTTGAACTGTCATCGGCGGTGCGCCAGCTGTCCTCCTCGGGAATGTCCTCCTCGTGGCCGTTCTCCTCCTCCTCCAGCTGTCCTCCTTGCCGGCGGTTGAGCGCGACGCTGTGTCGGTGTGTCATCTTCATCAGGGTTTTCCTGCCCTCGAGCTTGATTCACTGCACCTTGCCACTGCATCTGTAGCCGTATGTGGGTTCCCCGCCGCTTGGGGCCGATGACTGTCGTCCTCTACATCAATGCGGCCCGAAAAAGCCAGCCAGCATCTTTGTTCTACACCCATCTTACCGGTTATACCTTACTTATGCAAAACGGTTGCGGTTCACTTAGCTGCCTTCAAATCTCGTCATGTTTCGTATTTTAGCACACTCGCAGTATGCATACCGGCAATGTCGTTTGACGGAGGATGCCCTGATCGACGCTATCGAATGAATCCCACGGCATATCGATGACAAAGATGCCGTTGTCGTTAGGTCCATCGACCTCAATCGTGTCTTCGACAGCGTCGATCATAGTGTCCTCCTGACCAAGCTGGAATGGTATGGTATCGATCCAGATGGCTGGAGAGCCACCTTGGTGATCGGCGGCAGGCAGTGACAAGCGGCTCCTTACTTGTGCTGCTGTCTTACGATGCTCCCCAGAGATCCCTGGTCGGCCGAATCCTCTCCAGCATTTTTACAGTCGTCCCTCCGTCCTACTCACCTTATGGGCGTCGAATATTCTATGCCGATGATACCTGTTTGTTAAATTTCGCTGGTCCTGACGATCTAACCACCTAAAAACGAATCAAAACCACCCCTCCCACTGTTCGTTGTTTTATCATGCAACTCCTTAAAGAAAACCACATCCTTGCACATTAAAGCATCTGGTCGCAAACTGTCACCATCTCCCTTTGTGAAGGTGCCAGCAGTGTTCATCGGCCGTTTCCTTTCCTGGAAAGACCACGCCACCATTGTGACCCAGCAATGCAATGTCATCCTCTCTGTACAAAATTCGACACCGCCTCCCACCGGAAGCCCGGTCAAATGTCCGCCTTCACGCACATCCTGTACTGCCTTTCAGTATGGGATGTGGCTGTTGCGTGTCTCCTGCACAAAGTGCAGAAAGTTAGTGAACTTGAGGACCAGGATTTTCTCGGAGGACGCGTGTTGGTGTTCGTATCTCGCTGACCGTCGGTGTGTAGGCGCAGCGTGCTCGCCTGCTCTGCTCTGCTCTGCCCTGCTCCGCTCTGCCCTGCTCCGCTCAAGCATCGGCGTACTCAGGGCACTGAGAGGCCTGCGTACCCCCGCAGTCCTGAGGCATTCCATTCGTTGTTCACCACGCGCACGGTACACCACGGGGGCGACGTTGGTGAGGATGTGAGAATCGTCAGGCTTTCGCCTGCCGATGCCGCGCTTGTAGTTTCTTCCCGCACAGCACTGTTCTGGCGCTGTTTGTTCCGGCCATCACTGGCTCTCGATACGCGGAATGAGTTTATGAGCAAATCGATTGTGTGATATGTAAGGTTATGTCGTACGCCGAGTTTTTAGTTTTTGGGGTTTTGCGGGTCTCATAAGTGTTGTGCTATTCGTGAGGCGTTTTATTATGCTGTTATACCATGTAGGTGACTGAAATGAGATAGTAAACCACACCTTGGAATGCTTATTTATACAGCTGGCCGCATTAACATCAATGTAGAAAAATTATTTGGAGCTTATTTATCTAATGTTCTATGGTGCCACGCATTCATTTCATGCTAAAAACCATCTGCACGTCCCGATTTGCACGTCCCAGTTGTGCCGGCACGTGAGGGGGATCCCGCAATGTCTCCAAGACACAATTTCCTTTCGACAGCTTTAAGTCGAGGGGGAAGGTCGGAGCCTAGCAAGACTGACTCTAGCGACACCATGCGTGAGGTTCAGTCACTGCACACATCAACTTTTTGCATGTCCGGGCATGTGCAATTTTAGGCAATTTCTTTGTCGGTTGATGCGTGTTTCTAGGCTTCACCTTTTGCCCTCAGGAAAAACTGAAGCTTCTCGAAACATTTGCGAACGACCGGACGGAAAACCCTCGCACGTAATTCAAAGAACGCGCTGAATGTGAACGGGTTGCAAAATCCCGACATCAAAGACGTTGCGACGGTCGGTTCGTTCCGCAAGGATTAATCTCGCACCATTCTTTGACAACTAGTTCATCTCTCTCTCTCTCTCTCTTCTCTCTCTCTCTCTCTCTCTCTCTCTCTTCCTCTCTCTATCTCTCTCTCTCTCTCTCTCCCTCTTCTCTTTCTCTCTCGCTCTCTCTCTCTCTCTCTCTCTCTCTCTCTCTCTCTCTCTTCTCTCTCTCTCTCTCTCTTCTCTCCTTCTCTCTCTCTCTCCTCTCCTCTCTCTCTCTCGACTCTCTCTCTCTCTCTCTCTCTCTCTCGCGCTTCTCTCTCTCTATCTCTCTCTCTCTCTCTTCCTCTCTCTCTCTCTCTCTCTCTCTCTCTCTCTCTCTCTCTATCTCTCTCTCTCTCTCTCTCTCTTCTCTCTCTCTCTCTCTCTCTTCTCTCTCTCTCTCTCTCCTCCTCTCCCTCTCTCTCTCTCTCTCTCTCTCTCTTCTCTCTTCTCTCTCTCTCTCCTCTCTCTCTCTCTCTCTCGTCTCTCTCTCTCTCTCTCATCTCTCTCTCTCTCTCTCTCTCTCTCCTCTCTCTCTCTCTCTCTCTCTCTCTCTTCTTCTCTCTCTCTCTCTCTATCTCTCTCTCTCTCTCTCTCTCTCTCTTC